GTCGATTAATCCCTTAAAAAAAAAAAAGGAGACATATATATACAAACTTATTCTTTTTTTAATTCCTTTGTACACATCTAGAATACCTACTCTAACATATGGATAAAAATAAATAAATTTTAAAAAGCACCATCTTTTTGCTGGAACTGTGACTTTGATCAGCCCTTAAAAGTAACTTGTCTGAATCAGTTTATCTTCTAATGGATACCATCTGAATTTATACATGAACAAACACAATGAGAAAAATTGCACAAGATGACTCAGGAAATTATGAACAGATTGCAATAGAAATATGGTAGGGACAGCCATGGTAGCTCGACAACATTTTGGAAATTTCTTTTGCTGGCTGAACTGCCATTTCTTCCTTCAAATTCCTTCTCTCTCACTTCACTTTAAAAAAAGCTTAATGGAAAAGACAATAGTAATAGCAGAATTTACTCAACTAGGAAGTAATATTTTCACAGAGAAAAAACCCAAAAAATGCTATCAGGAAAAAAGCAAAACTTTTTAAAGGTGCCCTTTGTGGTAACCTCAATCATAAAATAAACTGTAATATCAAGAATGAGAAAAAGAATTTTCAATCAAATAAATATATAAAAAAATGGACATCATGTCTTTCCAGATTGGAAAAAGGCAGATTGAAAAAGTAATCCTTTCACATTCAACTCATATAGCACAAAGTGGAAAAAAAAGATGCATCCTGACAGATTTATGGTCTAAAAGCACTGAGAATTTCCACATTTTTCAAGGCTAATCACGTTCAGAAGGGACTTAGCTTTGGAGCAGGATATATATATATAGATATAGATATTCCATAATTCTTCCAGTACTAAGAAGTGAAACACTAGACTACTTTTTTTTTTTTTTTTTTTTTTTTTAAGCAAAGCAAGCACTGTTGCACTTAGGGCTGGTAGTATTAATGTAGAGACACAAAGCCCCAAAGAAAGTAGCAACAAGATCTTTGATTTAATAGACGGGACACAGGTGATTCAGCCCCAGCTCTGGGCACAGACCTACATAGGTGTAATGCTTGAGTGGCTTCAGAGGAGGCTGTGGCACCACCTCAGGCTTACTGCAACATAATTAAAGTCAGGATTGTGCTCATCTACCCTGTGATAAATGCGATACAATTGTTTCATAGATTCAGAGCAATCACAGAAAGGCTTGGATTGGAAGGGAGTTTAAAGATCATCCTGTTCCAACCCCCCACCACGGGCAGGGCTGCCAGCCAACCAGGCCAGGTTGGCCGGCCATACAAGCTGGCCTTGAACAATTCCAGGGATGGGGCATCCACAGCTTCTCTGGGCAAAGAGACAAGTTGTACTTCATCACATAGCAGTGTGCTGGTATAGATGGATCTGACTTTCTGAAGTGCTTCTATTGTTACTCTGACCTGGCTGGACAAAAATCTTTTTCCAGGCTGAGAATCATTTTAGGAGGGTGTACTCCAGCAGGTCATTGTTGTAGGTGGCCCAAGCCAGGCCTGAGCTTGTCTGCATCACACTCACAGATGTAATTTCAGCCCACAGTGGCAGCTCAGGGTCTCTCAGTAGTGCAGTCACCATTTCATTTTAATTTTCCAGCCCCAAGAGTGAGGAACAAGTACTCATACCTCTTGATTCCTACTGAAAAGATAGGGAAGGAAGCATGATAAAATCCAAGTCAGACATCAGTAGCAACCTAAAGAACAACCATCAAGTTGCCTGCCAGCAAGTGAAGGTGGAAGGACTGGCTCTACTTCTGGTGGAAGGAGGAGGGCTTACCAGCACCCCCTGCTCCTGATATGTACCCAGCAGTGCCCTGTGAATGCAGCATTGGCTGCAGCTTTTCAGGGGTCAAAGGTAAAAGAAGTAAATTGTGTTCCCACAGTGTCTTTAGAGGTCTGTGGCTTCACCTGTGCCATTCTGCCATGGTCTGGTCTGCATCTCCTGATGTATCCCATCCACCAGCTGAGTGTCTCTGCAGGCTCAGACACTCATGTGCTCAGTCTTTATCATTGTGCCAACAAAATCAACACTTCTGGGCTGCACGTGGGCAGAGGGGAGGGACAGTGAGTTTGTCATGTCCAAAAATAGTTCTTCAGAAGGATAAACTAACCCTAATGACTTTCGAAAATTAGTGCTGCATATGGCAAATAGAAAAAGCTAAGAATTTTCAATAGGCATTCCAAAGTGACACTTAACACTATAATTCAACTAGCAATTCAATTTTCCAAGGTCTAAATTCAGCATGATGTGAAAAAAAGACACAATTCAAAAGACATATGAATTAAATGGAAATGCAAGCCTGTGTGATTCATTCCATCAGCATTGTCAGCTTTATAAATGCAGGTTCAAAATACCCAAGGTCAATATATCCCAGTCATGAAAGTGAAAGGAAACCAAATTCATGAAAATCAACAGTAACTTCAGAGCTGTAATGAGGGATCTTGGAAAAGGTAACAGCTCCTTTTTTTTCCCCAAGGCATGAAAGGTAACTATAACTGCAAAGATCTGAGAGTCAAAATGGTCAGTGATTTGGGTTTTGCCTGAATCTGGATTCTCCCATGCAATCAAAAAGAGCTAGGAAAAAAAAAGAACAAAAAACCTTTTCTATTACCAGTGACCCTTTTCCATGTTTTTCTGTCAGGCAATGATACTCCTTATAACTTCATTCTTAGCACGTGCAGCAATTATGGAATTTTAGGATAAATCTATGAATATTTTATAAACTAATCTCTGTTCAATATTTACTATTTTTCAAAAACACTGGAGACATCCAGGTATGAATTTAGAAATTATATTGGAAGCAAAGATTAGTTTGGTCTTGAGTTACTAAATTTGCAGTGACCATATTTCTTTTGATTTAATGAATGATGTAATTGACTTCCCAGTTCATAATAGAGTATTCATCTGATTATTTCTTATATCTACATGAAAGCAAATTTTCTTAACACTTGTTGCCCTTAAATACGATGGAAAATTAGAAAATATTTGTTGTTCTGTATTGGTTTTATTACTGCTTATTAACCCACCTTTTCTTACAGTACTGTTTGACTTGCCTGTTCACTGATTGTCTTTAACAGGAGCTGTATCATTGGTAAAACACAAGTAACGTTCTGCTGTTGGATCACTCTGTTCTGACTTTGTCTGACTCCATCTTAAAAGCATATATTCAGTGCCAAATGCCACACTGAGAGAACCTCTCAGACATCTGTGCTGCTTTTGTCAATATTCTGTCTACTTCACCTGTGAAGGACATGCCCTGTTATAAAACTGTTATATCAGATTTACTTTCTTTTTGCTTATACAGTGTACCAAGAAGGAGGCTATCAAATATTTTCTTGAAATTTTTAGTGCCTCTTTTAAGTGTGTGTTTGATATATCTCTGATACAGCCTTCTATGGTTGAAAATGTGTTTAAAGACTGGTTAAGGTAAACCCTGCTCTTGCTAAGCTTTCTTTTAATTTTTTTTTTTAAGATGCGTATTTCACTTATTAATTCTGTTGTTGAACTTTGCCCAGGTTGAGCTTCATAATTTATTTAGCCCTTATAACTTATTATTATAGATAATAGATACGTTTTAGATACAACTTAATATTATAGATTAATGTAGTAGACCTTGTAAGTAAGCCTGCTAGAACATCTTCCAACATTTGTATCAATTTCCTTACTACTAACATAAATCTTCTTGGTTTTTTCTGTACTGCTTTATTGACATGATTTTTATTGATTTTGCTTCACATGGAAGAGTTGTGAGCTTGTTGGAGTTTTTTAAAAGGTTTCTTGAAAAAGTGTATTTTGGCTGATTTCCTTTTGTTGATAAATCTCTGTATTTACCCATGCTGAAGGATTGCCTCTCTGAAAACTGTATATTTTCCAGAATTTATGATGCTGTCACAGAGAAAGGGCTTCAAGATGTCAGTGTTGATGGCCTGTGATAAGTCAAGCCTTTCTGCATGTGAACTCTTTAGTACAGTTTGAAAATGCTGCAGTAAATAGCACTAGTCTTAGTCCTCTGTGGTCAAATTTCTCTTTTATTTTTCAGAGGTGGTTTTTTTCTTACGTTTCATCTGCTTTCTTATCACAGATAGTTTGTTATATTTGGTCCTGAGGATTGTGGCATAGCCAGATATTCATGTAAGTTTTTTCCAATACATATATGGTACCTGGTAACTCTGCTGGGAGAGTTCCAAATTACTTCATGGATTTCTTCATGAGGAAATATAATTCATGAGTTCCTGTGCCAGAAAAAATTCAGACGTCTATGCATCATTTTAGTTTGGAAACTCACGCTATATTTGTACATTTCTTCTGAGTTGTTTTCCCAGCCACTGGGTCTGAAGTTTCTCATTAACCTACTTGCCATAGACTTATTTAAATAAGTTGGGGTTGGAGTTTATGTGAACACAGGAAAAGTTCTTGCCTAGATTCTTTGCTTAGTAAAGTTCTTTTTTTCCTTTCTTTTGATTTGTCAATTTTTTTCCTAAACTTAAAAAAAGAATGTTCCCCCAGAATTAGATTTAGATACTCTTACAGGAATGGAATGAGACACAGTCAGTCAGTAAATTTTTCTTTAAATTAATTATTTTCCCACCATGTCTTCGTCAGTGCATGTTTTTTTATATAACTAATAAAAAATACAATTTTTGTAACTAGGAGGTTCTCATTTGAGCAGACTGTGTGCTACTAAGATGTGGTGTCCAGTTAGGTGTACCAGCTCTGTGGGGATTTTCCCAATAGAGCCTCACTGCATACCCTCACTCTGTTGAGTTGTGCTTAAACCTGCAAACTAAACTTTAATCTCTACTTAGTCAGAGGAATCAATGCTGCCAATTCTTTAAATAAAATGGAACTCTGATTTGAATTTAAAGGCAGATCTCACTCTCCTTCTAACTAGTGACCTCTGAGGGACCTAGCCACTTATAGTCAGCAGTAGAAAGCAGAGGTGCCATTACCATAACTGTGTTAATTTCAATATTTCATAACTTTTTTTTTTTAACTACAGTATTGTTGATATGAACTAGGAGTTAGTAGCACATGTTTTTGTTTCTCTTATCTCCAGTGACCAATTTGTATTTCATCTCCTGCTGTACATGACAAGAATATACTGCCATGTATTCAATAGAGAGTTAAAGCAAGCAAGTGAAATTGGAAGGAAGCTTTTGGAATACACTTATGTTCACCATATGGTAAGAGTTATTATTATGCAATTTAAAAAGGTATTGGTTTAAGTTAGAACATTTAGAAAGGTCCCCCTAAAAGTCTAGATGCTTTTAAACAATTCATCCAGATTCCTAATCCCTGAAAGGTCTTTTGGAGCATTAATCAAGACATGTTGGCTTTTGCCCTTCACATTTTTCTTCAGACTAATCCACAGAAACAAGCAAATAAATTACACATTAAAATTTATGAGTACAAATTTTTCCTTCCCTCTAAATAACGTGTGTGATTTTCCCTGGAGAAATTCCCTCCTGCATAAGAAATTAAAGCCTTCAAGCAAAGAATAATTCCACTGTCAGGAAGAAAAACAGAACCATTGCCATAGCCATGCTATTTTCAAATATTTCATAAGGCTGAATGCTATACTGTTCACATGAATTAGGGCTTAGTAGCATATATAACCATAGGTAGCTCCTGAATGTTATAGCACTGTAATGCAGTATTAAAAAAAATATTCCTGGGTTAAATATTTTTTTTCTGCCAGGAAGGAGACTTCTGTAACAGTTTATTCTTTAAAGACGAAAACCCCTCAGAGTAGCAAACCTTTCAGTTCTTTGGATCTCCTGGCAGCTGAAATCAACAAATGTGTATGGACACTTTGGTTTCCAGTCTAGATGATGAACTGCAATTGCAGGAGATTATTATCTGCTTGGAGGGAACAGACAGGCAAACCAGATGCCTGACTTGAGAGGGCTGTCTCAGTTCAGATGAAAATTTTCTTCAGTTCCTGAAGACTCATGAAAACTCAAGAATAGGTTGTTATTTTAGTCAAGAGTAACACTTTGAGGTCAAAATGGACCATTTGAAAATAAAAAAAAAAAAAAAGTGAATGTAGACATTTTAAACTCCTACTTGATAAATTACTATGGTATTTCCACTGGAGGTTACTTCAACATACTTATTAACATAATTTTTACATTTGAATGCTTTTCAAAATCAGATTATTTGTGCAGAAAAGTAAGGGCTTTATCTTGGCTTCCAAGAATATACCCAGTGCAGCTATCTGCTACACTATAAATACACATTTTTCAAGAGAGAAAGCATATTTGTCTAGTGCCAGTGAAATTGATGGTTAGAAGACAGCTATTTTCTTGGGTCACGTCAAGATGGAGCCTTGATTAGTTCTATATTAAGCCAAATTACTTTATTGTATCCAACATCTGAGTCAAGCAGGCCTTAGTTTTAGCACAGTATATGTAAGAATGTTATTGATGTATTGCTAATGTGACTTTCCAGTTGTAGAGTGGAAGGACCTGTAAAGAAATAACCTGTTCAATGTAATTATCCCTTACAGTTGCTCTGATAGGTTCATCCCTCTGAAAGGCAGAACAAGGGGGACTACCTTTTATTTGAATTACCCAGAAAGCAGCTTTACTAAGCTCAACTGAGTATTATACATAGAATAAATACAGTAACATAACTTTCAAGTCATAATTTTAGAATAGGTTAGAGTCAGACCTGCAATAAACTGCCAAGGGGTTTTATCCCATACAGCCCAAAAGTAGAAAAAAATGACTTTTTGTGAGTTATACAAGGATAGCATAAAAATTAAATATTAGAAGTTATTAGAAAGTTCATACCTTCTCATTTTATCTTAAAGAAAGTTTACTCGGGGGACATGACATTTTTAGATGAAAGGGGACTCTATGGCTGGATTATCAGATAAATTACTTAGGTTTGTACTTAGAAGTCAGACAAAAAAGTAGAATTTGGAAGGGAAGTGCAATCCATTTGTAATATAACACTCCTATAAGTCTAAAAATTACAGAATTTGTCATGCAACTCTCCCTTTGATCTTGGCTGCTCTGCTCCTACTTTTTAATTTCAATGTAAAATTGATTTTTCCATGGAAAGCAGAAGTTTCCCATGTTCTATCAATGTTCAGAAGAGAGCCTGATGTGCTCCAGAAATCAGTGCTGCCACTTTCACTGGGACCATTAAGATGTACTTGGGTCTCTGGAAATGTTGAAAAAATGTAGAAGAACATGAAAGTCTATCTTGACATATATCCTGATCTTTCATCCAGAAAGAGATTTAGTGGTTCCAAGAGACAACACAGCTTCATATGTTTGGGGAGAAAATAGTTTCTAGGAAAAAAAGAGGTATTTTGTGTTTTTTTTAATAATTCAGTGGCACTTCGGGGCAGGTTGGAAATGAGGTCTTTAACATCAAACCAAAAAATGTAAGGGTATGGATAGCCAGAGTTAGACAAATGTCTTTGATATAGTCACATTCTCAATTTGATGAGAATTGCACTTTTGAAAAAAAAAGAAAGAAAGAAAAACATGAATACAATTCTTTTCTTTTGGTCTTTCCAGATCTGCTTTAAAGATTGAAGAAGTTCAGTAGAGGTACTGAGATTTTGGATGCTTAGTCTAAGGCAAAATTAGCAGCCAAAATTTTGATACGTAACTCAGCACAAGTATTGGAAACAAACATTATCCTTAACCTAAAATGGTACTGCTTGTTCTCATAAATTAGGGGATGAACTGAGGGGGTTGCTATTTTGTTTTGTTTGTTTGTTTGAAAACTTAAATGTGAAAATTGCCGATGACTGTGGGAATGGACACTCATAATACCAGCTTTTTGTGTTTCTCTTGGTAGGCTTAATCAAAGTATCTGATTATAACCCTTCCCTTAGCACTTCATGTATTGTCTTCTTGGGAGCACAATAGATGTAATTTCACTCTTCCAGACTAAATGATTTTCATGGTAATTTCTTTGCCATTATCCATCCCACACGCAGTGGTTTTGTACATAAATGTGTCGACCCATGGCTTCTAACAAGTAGTCTGAAAAAAAAAAAAGGAGCTTTCAAACATAAAAAAGGTAGGAGTCATAACAGAGCTAATAGCAGCAAGTACAGATAAAAAGACACAATTTGCACAGAACAGATTTGCTAAATAGAGGCTGAGTTCGAGGATGATTACGAGAGCATACCTGATTACTCTTCAGCGGAAATGATTCTTGTAAAGATATCATATAAGTTAGCTCTTGCTAGGTTATTCTACACATTAAATATTTCATTTCCATAAAAAGTCTGGTGCACCTAAGGTGTCTCGGTGGAAGATAAGAAATTTGATGTGATTCACCTTTGCCTCCGCTATTGAAGTTTTACAGCTTTGGAACAAAGTAACAAGAGAGGTGAAGTGTCAAAAGAGCAAACTTTCTCATTGAGTGGAGGCCAGCAGAAACCAGTAATCCAGCTGAAGAAACCTACTGGTATTCATGTAAGAATGCTCAGTGTTACTGCCTGGACACAAAGGAATATCTCTTCTAATACAAACATTGCCTTCTTCAAAAACATAAAGTTGATGAAGCAGAATTGCATAAACAGCAGTATGGAAGTGTATGATGAGATACTACAGGGAGGGAACAAAATTGCTTTTACTTGTTTATCTGTTATTCTTCTATGACAAAGGACAGAGAATCAATCTTGTGAGGACCCTGATTACAATGAAATTAGAAATTCAGCATTCCCTTTACAATGCACAGACAAAGCTCTCCTGTTTGGCTGTGCTGTTCCCCAACAGTGTGAAGCATCAGAGATATTTTGGGTTTCACAGTGAGCACCTTCTCCTGCTGTTAACCATCTGTATCTGTTCAGTCCTTTTCTCATAAGACAGATCTCACCTGATGATGAGGCTGGCACAGAGCTGGCTGTCTAAAAAGGGGAGACCTGGGTTAATTGTCTCCCTTCATATGGCTGGATTGGAAACTTGAATGAATGTCTCCCACCTTGCAGGTGGGTACCATAAACACAGATAGATTTGGTTCTGTCACACTGAAACTGTTCTTATATAAAACAAGTAAATGACTGCTGGTCAGAGAGGACTTGAGAATGTGCTGAATTTCAGGAGACCACTCCTGAAAACCCAGGAGGGTGATGACACCTATGTGGGCTAAAAAGCACAGGACTTTTACTTCGCTTAAAAAAAACCCAAAACACCCTGCATTAAAAAAGGATGATCTCAGTACTTTTGCCCTCCTGGGCCTTTTTGCTCCTCCATTTTACAGCATTGCAACTAAATGTTCAGGAGACTGTACTGGGCTCAAACTTTTTTTACCTCTTATAATTTGTCCATTCACCAGTCAGGTAAGTTGCCTTGTCTACTATGCTTGTAGAGCTGGCTTTACTGTGACCATGAAATATTCAAATTAGGTCAACACTGCACCTAAAATTCCCCTAAAGGCTTCAAAAACTTGAAAAAAATCCATTAAAATATAATGGTCCCTGTTCATATAAGTAGAGTTGGGCATTAAGGATCTGTGTTTAAGAGAAAAGCCTATTTCTCTAATCTTTGGTCAAAAACATCCCTTCATTTTTCCTTGGTCAGAATAGTAGAAGCTCTTCAAGTTTTTTTAAAAGCATCTTATATTTTATTTATTTATTGTTGTTATATTTATTTTAAATTTCACTTAAGTATGTATGTTTGACACTTGTAGAATGATGTTGAGCGGGCAAGTAAAGGCAAAATTTGAAGTTATTTCAATGAAGAAAACAAGCAATTGTTGCAGGACAAGATAGTTCAATATATCTCATCAGTTAACACAGAACATTTTAACATGCTTCAATACACATAACACAATCTTTGAATATGATTTATGCAATGTTTGCTTCCTTTTAAAAAGACTGTCAGAAAGACAGTCATATTTGAAACTCAGAAAATACACTAGAATGCAATTTTAAATAACCTTGTACTGACATGATAAACACGTTCTCCCTTACTATAGAGCGACAATTTCCTCTATTTGAACAATTATGGCAGCAAATAAGCCACAAAAATGTTAGTTATTCTTCCAAATGCATAACATGTGATAAAGGAACCTTTGCTTTACTTCAGCCAAACCTGAATTCCTTGAAAAAACCAAGTTGAGATGATCTAGGCCTCATCATACATCCTGCCTCTCAGGTAAGGTTTCAAACCACCCTAAAGCAAACTTCGTGTGTGAAGAACACCTTGGACTG